CACCAGATCTTCAGAGTGGGGAAATGCTCTGAAAATCGAGCCGCTTTAATGGTGCGGCAGATGCAGGCATGCACCAGTCACAAACTCAGATATGTTCTGCCTTGTCAGAAAGGCTTGTTTTGTGATCTCATGGACGTTTCTGCCAAAAAAAACTCAAAGTAGGGAAATCTGCCCAAATTTCTGTGTTTGAATAGCTGGCACTTTTACAACAAGTACTCGAATGGGAAAGCAACATCAGGGAGATGTGTTTCCCTGTCTCCAAATGCCATTCAGGCAGCTGGGCCAGCTTCATCTACAGAGTTTTGCTAATCACTAATCACTTCTGACCATGTCCCTTCCTCAGGAACTAAGGGGATGCCTGTGCTGCGGTGCCAGTGTCTGCTGATGCTCCTGTAGGAGGGAGATGTGGGTCGGGCTGTCCTCGTAACTTTGTCCCGTGGCTGCAGCCTGGGTGACAACAACTCTGGTGCCGCCACACGCAGTTCCCAGCAGGTCAGCCCCCTTCCCCTGTGTTAGATTAAGTGACTGGGAAGTCGTGAAGCGAGTTGACTCCATGAACTGAATGGGTGAAAAAATATTATGTGTATAGTATCATAGTATCATCGAATCATTATGGTTGAAAAAGACCTTTAAGATCATCGAGTCCAACCATAAACCCTTCAACACCATAGCTGCTAAACCATGTCCCTAGGCACCTTATCTACACCTTTCTTCAACACTGCCAGGGATGGTGATTATACCACTTCCCTGGACAGCCTGTTCCAGTGCTTTACGACTCTTTCCATGTAGAACCTTTTCATAATGCCTAACCTGTCCCTTCCCTGGTGCAACTTAAGGCCATTTCCTCTTGTCCTGTTTTCAGTAGTTATTTTAGAGAAGAGACTGACTCCTGCCTCACTACAACCTCCTTTCGGGTAGTTGTAGAGAGCGACAAGTTCACCCCGAGCCTCCTCTTCACCACACTAAATAACCCCAGCTCCCTCAGCCGCTCCTCGTAAGGTCTGTGCTCCAGCCCCTTCACCAGATTTTTTCTCTTCTTTGGACATGCTCCAGCACCTCCCTGTCTTTGTAGTGAGGAGCCCAAAACTGAACCCAGTGTTTGAGGTGGGGCCTCACCAGTGTATGTGTTCATATGCAAATGTAGACATTATGTATTTATTTCCTGTCAGCTGTGTGATCGTTCAGTTTGACAGGACTAGAGGGGCTGCAGGGCTGATGAAGGCAGGCAAGGGAGCACGCTGCTTTCAGAAACCACCTGCCTGCATCTCATCCTTTGGCTGTCGCGCCAGGCAGCAGCTCAGTTTGGCCAAGGGGGACACTTCCTCACCCAGATGTCATGGCCATCCTCACTTGTGGCTGGTAAGCAGAAACTAGAAGAAATACAGAACTCATGTATTTCTCCATTGTAGGCAAGTAGTATTTTCTTTATCTGCTTCTTGTTCAGTGATTTGAGGCTTACTGATACAAAGCTCTGTGAGAGATTTTGATGTTCCTTATCGCAGCATCTCTGAGCACAATGTCTTCCTTTGCCTCGATAAAGTACTCCTGTCTGACCAGGTTCGCCTTCCTCTTCTCTCCCACCCTTGCTTCTGCAGGGTGGAGAAGAAATTTGCAACATCATTAAGGTTCTCTGCTTTCCTTTTTGCCTCCAGACTAATAACTGGAACTTCATTTAGGGGAATATTATTATGCAGACTAGTTGTTCTATCATCAAGGATATAAATCCTGAAAAACTTGAAAAAAATCATGCATGATAAATTGGTATTAAATGCTTAGGGGAATGGAAATTAAATGGAATTAAATGGAAAGCTTTCCTTCAAAAAGGACCAACCAGACAACGGCTGCAGAGTACGACTTTCTGGCAGTGGAGGATCGTTATGGTGTGAGATTAGAGTGATAGTCTGAATCTGCAGGCACATTTAGCGCCTAAGCCCATGCTGCCAACTTTCCAGATATTGGGGCAGTGTTCTAGCAACCGGCCTGGATTTCAAGGCTGCTTAGTGAAAGTTGTAAGTGAGAGTTACCAGTTTTAGTCTTCATCACTGCACAACTGTTCAGTGTTGCCTTCCATCACAGGATACTTTCCTGCCTTGTAATCCAACCAGTGAATGTTGCTCCAACTGGTTGTGGAAGAGCTGGGCATTCATATGGCAAGACTTTTATGGTGGACACAGCTGGGGCTGGTGCTGTGTGATGAAGAAAATGGAAATTAACTGGGCCCAGTACATCTGCTCTCGAATATCACACTGCTTCTGAAGAAGGCCCTTCTTGGTGTCAGTTTCAAGCTTTTCACACATCACACAGGCCAAGAGTTCTTCTTTGAGTGTCAGCAACAGCACCTGGGGTGCTCACAGCAGCTGTCCGACACAAGGACAGCGAGGCTGATGCTTGTACAGAAGTCACTGGGGCAGCTCCCTGCTGCTGGTACTATCACCACGGTGTCCAAGTGCCCCCGTGTTAGACGTCCAGTCCCCTGTGCTTCCCTGTGAGAGAGCTTTTGTTCCTTCTGAGAGCTGGGGAAACAGGCAGGGAGTGATCCTGGAGGATCTGCACTACAGTGGAGATGGGCGCCGCTTCCTCCCCAGCTCAGCACTTGCTTTCGCTCCCAGGGTGGCCTGGCTTTAGCAGCTACCTGCAGAGCTGATGGCAGTGGAACAAGGAAGGCGGAGGTTTGTGGAGGATTCGCTTGCCTAAGCCACTGCCAGGGGCAGGGAGCTGTGTAGAACAACCACCAGGTATCTGGTCCTAGGCTCTTGTTCTGCTGGGCTTGTGCCCCATGGGGAGCAGAGGGGCTCTACGTAGGAAGAGGCCTGTATTTCATGGCAGGATCTCTTTTATCTCCATGAGTGGGTTCTGCTCTTTCTCTAGGAAGAGGTGATCCCTTGGCAGCTACATTTTAAACTCAAGTGCACAGAGCTCTGCTGTTCGGCCAGGGGACACCCTGTAATCAGAGGCTCAGGTCAGATCAGTGTCTGGGGGCTGTGCTTTTCCTGTGCTGACTTAATGCTGGCGCTTCCTGGCAGCAGCAGCGTAAAGCTTTTTAATGTGATTTTTTTTTTTATCTTCATTCTGCAGCTCTTCCCAGGGGTGCTGCTGGCTTTGCTTTGAGATCCTGCTTATCACCTCCAGTTTTGTGACTGTTCTTCTGCTTCCCACAGAGGTTGTGCTCGAGGTCGGTGAGGAGAATGAGTGCAATTTCACCAGTCCTGCTAGGTTAGCAAATTTGGCAACACGGAGAGTCTTGGTGCTGAGCAATCCTCCCTGACCTTGTGGCCTTTCAGCTCACTCCTGTGAGCTGGGCTCACCCTCAACATTGTTTGAGATGCTTGCAGCATCAGCCTCTTTCCTGCAGGCGCCGTAGCCCTCTTTCTTAATGCCCTCCTTGTTCTGCTTAGGAGACTTGTGCAGCAGTGGGAGGTGACATTCCAGGTGGGGCAGAATTACACTGCTGGCTCTTTGCATCCTGCCCTGGCACTTCCAGTCCTTCAAGTCTAGCACCAGAGAGGATGCTAAACTCGTGGGAGATTCCTCTGGGAACTAACTACTGCCTGGTGCGTGGGAGAAGGATATGGATGGCTGATAGATGGGGAGATGTTCCTAGCAGAGATTTCTTTCCTCAACTGCATCACCACCTGTACTTGACTGCATCTCTGCTGTTCTCTTGTGGGTCTTGCTGGAAAGCCAAGCCAGGAAAGAAACTCTTGAGGAAAACTGTCTGCAAAGACAAGGGTGAACAGCTGAAGGGAGATGGGACAAACACGAGACAGGACCTGCTGGGGCCTCGGTGGAGGACTGGCGCAAGAAGGGAGGTGCCTCCTACCTGCTGCCTGGGCACGTCTGGAGAAAGCGCTGGCTGCACCTCCGGCTGCCGTGGCGCCTGCTTCTTGGCAGCAGGACACTCACTCTGCCAGATCATCCAGAAGCACAGCAATGATTCCACTTGGATGTGGCTGCAGGGCTGTGTTTCTGGTGAATTAGCCAGAACATGCAGCCTAGGAGCCGTGCTGAATTTTGGGCAACTGCAGATGCTGCTTTGGTACTGTCAGACAGCGTGGACAAGGGGGTCTGATTCAGCCTAAAACTTGCCAGCATAAAATTAATCTGTAAAAATAGGTTATGGATGGATTTGAACCAGCACCACGTGTTTGTATCTGCTGCAGAACAGGCTGTCAGATTTTAATACATTTTGGAAAACCCTATAGCCTGAGTCACTGTATAGTTTAGGCCACAGGCACAGGGCTCGTGGAATTGGTTACCCCCTTCAGCACCACATGTCTCTGGGTGGGAAATGAAAGTGTGTCTGCTCCAAAATGAGTTGGACTGATCTCCATGGCCATCTCCAGAGCTGCACTAAGTGACTTCCTCCTCCAGAGGAAGCTCCTTGTGAGACGCTCACCACGTGTTTGGAGAAGGAGCAGGTCCTTGACCTGCATTCAGGAGGAGATGAGCTCCTGGCAGAGTGTATGTAGCCTGGGAGGGAACCATGGATCCCATGAGGACAGGACAGGGGTGGGCAGTGTTAGTGATAGTCTAGTTGTCTGTGCTGGGAGTGAAACAGCATTGGAAGCTGCTTGTTCTTTGCAAATGATGGTGACCAAGATCTATTGCTAGCCTGACAAAGCCATGTAAGTTGTTACTGAAGTGTGTCCTGCCCATGCAAGGACCTGAGCAGGTGCTCCTGGAAGGACTCAGTGCTTTGTTCAGCCGTTCCAGGTCAAATCCACTCTTCAACCTAGCCTGCATTCCTTTCACATGCTCCCCACATGAGCATGCCAGTAAACTGATTCCAGAAAGGAATCAGGGAATTTGGGCTGGAGAGGAGTTGCCAAGCTGGCAACTGGGTCTGGGGATTTATTTCTGAATTTGATAGGCATAGTTGTCAGCTGGAAGAGGAGCTGAAACCTCGGACCCGCAGAATGGCTAATGAAAGCCCCACCGTGACGGCCACTGGGAGGTTTTCATTGCAAGTGACTGGTATCTCATGCTTTCCTGTGTTACAGGCCCCGATGCTAAGTCTGCTGGGCAGCCCCAGGGAGATGGCAGCCATTCGGCGGCTGCAGATGCTCGGAGGCACCAGAGGGGCCGCGCAGAGCACCGCAGACACACCATCACCAACGGCGTGGACTTCAGCGTGGTAAGAACAGCGCTGTTGTTGGCCAGTGAAGGGCCTACATACCCTGTAGGGGACACTGGGGCAAGGTAAATGGCAGAGGTCCTTCTTTGCTGATACTAGCTCTGTTTGGGCCATGGCTCTGCCTTGCCCACCCCAGAGTGTGAACTCCAAGGGCTTTGGATATTACAGGCATCCTGGTATTTCTTTTTGAGTCCTGCAAGTTGCTTCTAAAGTCCCTTCTGTCCTGAAGTCTGCAGGACTGGGAGAAAGTATGTGTCCCCTCTGATGCAGAGTGGGATCCCTGTGTGGGAAGTTGGTGTTTTACTGCACAGGTGCCTTCTCCATTGGCAAACAAACTTGGGCAAGGAAAAGCAAACATTTTCCCTCACTGTATATATGGTGGCCCCAGCCCTGCAGTGGTCTCTGCAGATGAATCTCTGGGGCTTTCAAGCATGCCAACAGAAGTCATGCATGCTCAGGGCTGGTGAGTGGCTGTGCCAAAGCATGTGGCATGGCAGTATGGGGGCCCCGAATGGTCAGGGCTAATCACACAGTCTGTCTCTTCCAGTAAAGCATGGACATGGTAGAGGAGCCCTGCGGGCTCTGAGAGATTTTTTTCCAGTAATGCTGGTTTCTGTGCATTTAATTTAACTGAGGAGCCTGGGATCTAAGGATCTGCTTCCTTCTCACAGTTCCTGAGTGGAAAGGCTTGCCTGGAACAAGGGATCTGCCCTGCTCCGAAGTGGGTTGGAGAGGTTGCCTGGACATGTTGCCCATAGACTTGAGCTAAATTTTCCTGGGAAGTGAGCCAGAACCCTGCCTATACGTGACAGTCTCTTGACCTTCCTTGCTTTGTCTTGCGGTGTGAGCACCGTTTGTTTGAGCCATTTGGGAAGCTGTGACTCGCCCATCAGCACTTCCACTTCTCACACACTGGTGTCACCCTGCTGCCTGATGTGAGCGAAGCTGACAGGCCGCATGGGCCGTCTCTGTGCAGCATTGATTGCGACTTTGTGTTGGCCCTGAGTGACATAACGGGCTCTCGCGCTCTCGCTCCCTGCCCTCCCCAACCTGGTTTTTGCACACATAGGACCAGGTTGACTGGGCGGGCTGGGGCCCTCCCTCAGGCTCAGAGGGTCTCTCTGAGAGGTGCTGGTCTAGGGAGGGGGAATGATGTCCCTCTGGTCCTCAAGGCTTTGGTGAGTGGGTGCCACTGCTCTGGAGAGAGGAGGGTTCCTCTCTTTCTTAGCAAGGCTCCTCAATGTGTACACAGCTCCCACCTGGAGCCAGCACAGGCGGCATCGCAGTCATGAGTTCAGAGTGCCAGCTGGTCCTGCACAGGTAGGGCTGGCAGCCAGGTCTGCCTTGCAGGGGTCTGGGTTCTCTTCCCAGCACTGCAACAAGTGCTGTAGTTTTGGGTAGCTGTTACCATTGCCTATGTAGTTATAGTGAGAGAGATGGGAGGAGGGAATTTTCCCCTGTCCCACAATTATATTTGTCTCACTGTCTGTCATGTGTTTCTCCTCTCTAAGAAGCGGTGTCTGTGCCTGTCCTGCAGCTAGGAAGCACCCTGCTCCCCTCAGCACCAAGGCAGCTCTAGAGAAGCATTTGGGTATTAATCCCACTTCAGAGCATCCAGAGACAGTTAGAAAAGGTTTGAATCCAGCCAGGATTGAACCCTTGTGCAGAGTAGTGTTGTAATCTCTTACTCTTCCTTTCCCATGATGCTAGAAGATGATAGGTGCTGAAAAGGCAAGGCATGCAGATGGCATTAGGCTAGTTTGCCTTAAACTCAAGGGGTGTTGGCAGGCACTGATGTCCGTTCTGCGCCCTATGTGCATGTGCTAGGGACGTGTGCAGCCCCTGATGAGCAGAGCGAAGTTGTGGGGCTGTGCTGCGGTGCCCAGACCCTTCGCACCATGACAGCTGGTGTCTGCCTGGCTCATTTTTTTCCAAGTCCATTGATCGATCGGCCCAATTTCCGCACAGCCTCAGGGCAGCTGGGCTGAGACTTTCTGTGAGAGGCTGAGCTCTTCTTTCATTTGCAGGCAGGCTCCGATATGGCACTATCCCCTCCCCTTCCACCCCAGGCAGCCCCAGCCAACACCCACTGTGCCTGTTCCACCTCCATCTTCCTCCTACCACCCCAGAAGCCGCCTTTGCCACCAGCTGGATCCCGTCCTCAACCCTTAGCAAGATGCCGTCTGTCCCCTCACCCAGCAGAGCTGGTGATGTCCCACCTCTCTGTGTGATGCTGCCTCTTCCTCCAGCCACCGTGTGCACTGGTAAGCCTGGAGGGACCAGGGCAGGACAGGCGGTCACAGGCTGCAGCCAGAGATGGATGAGGGTCCTTGCATCATACAGCATCATCTTCATGCCCCTCAGCAATAGCCTGCGTAGCACCAAGGCTCTGCAGTTCTTCCTGTGGGTATGTCACCTTCTGTCCACCTTCCATCCAAGTGTGCGTGTGGGAGACTGCTGTATTGCACGCAGTACTTCCAGAAGCAGTAGGAGGCATGAGCAGTTCTGGGGTAAGGAGTAACTGGCATGTGACAGTTGGGAGGTTTTGGGGTGGAAGCAGGGACAGAGAAGTGCTGGCAGCGTGGAGAAGGTGCTGGAACAGTCCTGCTTGTCCCCACCAGGGAGGTGGGAGGAGATCTGTGCAGGTCGTTCTGAGCTGAATCCTTTCCTTCCAGACACGCTCTAAACGAGCAGGAGAGGTTGTTCAGTGCCCAGCAGCTTCTGAACGTGCCTGCTTGCATGATGGAAAACACTAATGGTGTCCAGAAAGCAGTTTTCTCTTTATGGCGGAGATTCTGGCTCTCCTGGTGCCCAGACTGCCCTAGGCTGCGGAGTTGAGGTCACGTTGTGGCCTCATTCTCCAGCATGTCTGTCAGGCAGAAGCAGGGTGGACAGTCCTTTGCTTCAGGGGATGCAGGGGATGCTCTTGCTCTCAGAGTGGGGGCCTAGCACCTCTCCCTGGCAGAGTAGCCACAGGAGTAGCCCAGGAAAGGCGTAAGTCAGGGGAATGGACTGATAGAGCTGAGGGGAAGGAGACTGTGAGCTCTGTGCTCCTTGTTTGAGGGTTGATCAAAAAGTCGCTGTACTGTGGTGACTCTTTGTTCTCCAGGAATGTTTTCTCCTTTTCTTAAGCTGCCTTGATGATTTCCTGTTAGCAGTGCAACGTCTAGGGGCCTCAAGAGAAAAGGATGACAACAGAGCAGGGAGACCTCCTGCTCCTGCTGTCAGTGCAGTGCCTCTCGCTGATGGAGGGGCCGAGCAGCCCATGCTGCAGCCATCTCTCTGGCTGAGTCACAACCTGACTCCAGATGCAGGGTTATGCTGTGCATGTCCCAGAGAGCTGACTTAGGGGTTAGAGCTCTGGTTCTTACAGTTGCCCTCCAGATATGCCAAGGATACCCCTCCATGTCCACCTCCAGATTACTCTGGTGCTTGAACCTGAAACACTCAGCAGGTGTTCTACACCAGGTAGTTCAACAACTACCTGAAAGGAGGTTGTAGTGAGGCAGGGGTCGATCTCTTCTCTAAAATAACTACCGAAAACACGACAAGAGGAAATGGCCTTAAGTTGCACCAGGGAAGGGACAGGTTAGGCATTATGAAAAGGTTCTACATGGAAAGAGTCGTCAAGCACTGGAACAGGCTATCCAGGGAAGTGGTATAATCACCATCCCTGGCAGTGTTGAAGAAACGTGTAGATAAGGTGCCTAGGGACATGGTTTAGCGGCTATGGTGTTGAAGGGTTTATGGTTGGACTCAATGATCTTAAAGGTCTTTTCCAACCATAACGATTCTATGATTCTATGTACTCATAGGAAAGGTGTCCTATGCTCTGTTCAGAAAAACCTTGGTGGACAAAGTAAAGGGCAGAGCAGGGACCTGGGAAGAACGTGGCCACAGATATTGTCCAGATGTCTAATGTGTGTGTTCAACTTGGCTGCTTTGTGTACGCCATTCGTATTCAAGCTGCTGACTGAAGCCTACAGCCTCAAGAGCATGTAGAGAGTGGGTGCAGGCCACAGTCTTAGTGCATCCTTGAATAAGTGACAAAGAGAAACCTGCTTCTCCTCTAGTGAGAGCTGGTGGGCAGCAGACCTGGCTGTCCAGACGGGGGATGGAGATGATCTCACTGTCCTTCAGCTGTTGCACTTATTCTCCCAAACTGGAGAGCTCTCCCTCAAACCAGGATGATGCAGTGGGCCTCATCATACGCCTCCTTAACTCTTCATGGGGAGAGAGGCTGAGATGTCTGCTGGCAGCCAGGTTCCTCTGTGCCTCATGAAGAAAGTGGCTCCTTGGGCTTGACAAGATCTTGGGCTGGGCTGGAGAGAATTGCCTGGGCTGTGAGTTAGATCACTCCTGGAGGCTTCAGACTGGGGTGGTAGGCCGGTGTTTCTCATGTTTGTCTTCAACCTCCTCCAGGTGTCATCCTGGGCACTTCATTTCCAGGATGGGAGGCCCAGTCTGCCTGCTTTGGACCTGGATGAGGAGAGGACATGATGTATCTGTGTACTGTCTTGCAGCTGAAGCATATGAAGGAGCTGGAACAGGAGAAAGATTTTCTGCTCCAGGGTCTGGAGATGGTAGAACGTGCTCGGGAGTGGTATCACCAGCACATCCAGTTTATGCAGGAACGACAGAGACTTGTGGGGAAAAACAAAACCAGCACTGTGAGTCTGGAGTTTGTTCTGTGGGTGCTCATCTTCTTGGAGGGTCTGGGCTGCCTCATGGGTTGGGAGAACTCAGCTGGGACTTAGTGTGCTCAATGTTGGTCTGACTCTGCTCACCCTAGCTCCTGGAGATAGAGTCCATCCAGGACCTCTTGTGCCCAAATCTTCCTGCTCACTTGCCAACCTTGATACTCTCCCCTTGGACCTACTTGTAACTATACACGTGTGGATATATATGTGCCCTTGGCCTGACTGCCTGGGCTCACGCATTCCCTGCTCACCTCTCGTTAGGCCACAGACCAGATCAAGATCGCCTTTTGGACAGGACAGTGACTTTGGTCTGTGTGTTGATTGTGCCATAACTCCAGATCTGAACCAAGACCTCTGTCCTCATCTCACTGAATAAATAAAGGGCATGTCCCGTTGTCTGCATGAGCTTGGCTCTGCTGAGTATACTGGGCTAACTGGTGTGTCGGTGGCAGATTGAGACCCAAGCTCTGACAGAAATCTGCAGAGGGGACTGGAAGACAATAAGACATTGAGTCCTCTGCAGGGCAGCCTGATTCCCCATAACAGCTCCCGCCCTCTTCTTCCTCATCTCCAGGACTTCCTCCCTGATGGCAGCCAGAGCCACCTGGGGCGCCTGCTCCCTAAGCTGCAGGAGGTGAACCGCTGCCTCAGTGACCTCCTTTCTGCGGTGGGCAAGGTGAGAGGGAGATCAGCAGCTTGCTGTTGTCTGTGTGAGCTTGGGGGTCCTCCCTGTCCCCCCTTACCCTGCTGGAGGACTGATGCTGGAGCTGCCAGAGCTCTCCCTGACTCTGGGGAGATGATTTGGCCCTGTAGGCAACGCTAAGGGCGGCAGACAGCCGAGAGGCCAGTGCAGCTGGTCCCAGACTGGGCTAGAGGATGCTCAAGACATTTGTGGGGCCAAAAGGAGTTGACGTTGCTGTGGGAATAGGGAAAACATCCTGCTGAGGTACTGAGCCAGTCTTCCTGGAGCTGCACATCTTGAATGCCAGGCTACAAGAGCTCCTGGCAGGTGTGTAGGGTAGGGCATGTTGACAGGAATGCTTCTTGTCTCTGTCTCCTCCTGCAATGATCTGTGCTAATTGCACTAGCAGGTCTTACTCTTGTGCTGGACTTCTCAATGCCTGGCCCACCAGCTCCCAGCCTCCTTTAAAAACTATTGCAGTTAATCTCTTCTGGCTTTGGAGACAGGCTGGGGAGGGTCTCCGGGAAGAAGATTTCACGTCTTACCTTTTCCCTTTATCCTCATTTCAGCCAGCAAACTCTTCCTCAGCTCTGCCCAGGCCAGGCCCTGCAGGCCCTGTGGTGTCCCCAGCGTCAGCAGGGTCCCAGCAAGCCATCAGTATGCTGAAGGAGCAAAACCGGCTTCTCACCAAGGTGAGTGGTGTTCGGAGAGGATGTCTTGCATCCAGCTGGGTGGGGTCACAGTGGACCTGAAGAGCTCATCTTTGCTGTAGGAAAAAGACTTTGTGGCAAATTCAGCCACAAGAGGGTGCAGATGCTCCAGCTCAGGAGGCGCAGGCTGCATGGGCCAGGTCTGTTCTTCAGGACTGTCAGGAATGGTCCCGCATGCCCCTCACAGCTCTGCCAGCCCCAAGGCATCACACCTGCAGCAGAACCGTGCACCTGCGGCTTGCAGGCAGCTCTTTCGGAGTGTGGGGGTGGACATGTGTATCGGGGGTGGCGAGAGCAGCAGCTGGGCCTGACAGTGAGAACTTGCACTGCTCACTGGATGTCCCAGGAGGAAGACAGCTCTGAGCAGGCGTTTTCTCTATCCGGTGCAGGAAGTGACTGACAAGAGTGAACGCATCACCCAGCTGGAGCAGGAGAAATCCGCCCTGATCAAGCAGCTCTTTGAGGCTCGGGCTCTCAATAACCATGAAACAAGCCAGCTGGACTCCACCTTCATCTAGTGTCCGCCTCCTGGAGCTCCTGCTGGCCCCACACTTGAGCTCTTCCCTGGGCTTTCTTGGAGCTAGGACTCTTGCCTGAATCGCACTACATCCGTTGCTCCTGGTGGTGTATCTCAGGGCCTGTGGAGGTCCAGAACTGACCATGGTACGTCTACATGAGGAAACCAGAGGAAAGCACTTTCCTGATCCTGCTTGGGCAGGCCTGGGGAATCTCCCCTCTTTGCTGTGCTGCTGGGCTTGGTCAGCTGCACCAGTTGCAAGCTGCTCCTTTTCTGCCTTTAAAACTGACTGCAGAGACTGTACCTCCTACCCTGTGTCCTCTGTGCTGGGTGCTACCTGCACTGTCTGTGTGGGGTTGGGATGGGGCCTGCTATACCCTTGGCCTGATTTAGGCTGAATTCTGGCTGCTCTCTGAAAAACATGATGTCCTTAACACTCCACTTGGCGTCTCCAAGCAAGCCTGGCCTCTGAAGGACAGCTTGTCCCTTGCTTCTGACAAGAGGATGATATTGAAAATTGGTAATGAGGCAAGTGTGGCCTCTCTCTGCTGCCTGAATTTTGCCTACCACTGCAGCCAAACTGGATTAGAGCAATACTGGAGCTGCTGCTCCTCTTAGGATAATCACTCCCTTCATTTTGGAGGAGTGTTGATGAATTTGTTTACACATCTGGAGGCTCCTGTAGTTAATGAGCCATAGACCCAAATGAGATCACATGTATCTCTAAGTTACTGTTTCAAGCTGTTTGCGGGTTTAAGCAGACACTTATGAATCAATTTTGTTTGACCTGGCAAATGTTTCCTTATGACTGCTAGGATTATGTTTTTGTGATTACTTTAAAAGGAGAGATAATGTCCTACAGCAAGAGGACTACTGACAGAAACCTGATTTCACAGCGGGGCTTTAGAAGTAGGGTTCTTATCTAACTGAACATGGGTGATGGAGAGGAGGCTGGTGGGCTCTTTCCTTTGCACATCTCCAAATGAAGAAAGGGCAGATTTGCCCATCCTGGTGTTGTACCCAGGGTCCCCTGGTGACATCCTGGGTGTGAGCTGCATCCTTCTTCAGGTCCATAGGGGTGATGGGGGTAGTTTAAACATGTATCCTTGTTGTACTGGTGCATCTTAATTCCTCCGTTCCACCCAGCTCAGGGGCTGGAGCTGGGACTGAATGGTGTCTTCCACTTTGTCTTGGTAGTTTATATTTATGGTACTTGCATAGGAAGTCCTTGTGCATCCCAATGTAGCACAGGCCTGGTCCTTTGTATCCTGGCCTGCTTCAGGATATTTTTTTCTCTGCAGGGTTTTCCATGCTCTGACTCTCCTAGCACAATGCACTGATCTGGGCAGAGGCTACTGAACCTGCTCTGCTCCAACACTCAACTCTGACAGCCTGGGCGCTGTGCAGATCAGTTCCTTTCCCACTTTGGGGAAGATGCTGTTGCCTGTACAGTCCACCTGGCTCATCCAGCTCCTCTCTGAGTTGGTCTTGACCTGCTGCTGACTGCAAGGTGTGCAGGCCTTGGGCTTCCCTGGTGGCTGCTATTTCTGCCAGAATGGGCATCAACAAAGCGTGAGGGAGACAGAGGAAAGGCCAGGCCAGGATAAATTGTGTCCCCTATGGCTGTGGGAATAGGATGTTATTTATCCCCTGGGCTTCAGTTTCCTCCCTGTCGTTCGTGATGGAAGTCCAGTGCCTGTTTTGCCTGAGGCTTAATAAAAGTGACCCTCCTCATAACCTTTCCTTAAGGATAATAAAGTGGGATGAATTATTTAATGTATTTGTCTGTCTCTGATGGTCCTATCCCGAGGAATGGGAGAAGAGAGCTGAGGTTGTCCAGTCTCAGCCTACATGTAAAGAACCCAGTGGGCCCCTGTTGTAGGCTGCATTCCCATGTCCTTTCCCTTCCTCTTGGGAGTCCCCCGAGACCTCTGCTTCCAGCTTGGAGCTGGGGATTTCCCTCTATGTCCTTCCTGCTGGCAGATGGGATTGTGAAGCCCCCTGTACCCTCTTTCCAATGTTTGTACCTGCCTCATTTTTCATCTAGTAGCTACATCTGGCCATTCTTCCAGAAAATGTTCCAGGGGTTGGTTCATGCTTCTCAGGTGGTGCTGGGATAGTTCCCAGGTTTTGATGCTCTTAGCATCATTTCTTTTCAAGCAAACCACACTGGAGGTGGTGCTTGTGGCCGTGGGCAGCCCGTGGTGGTGGTGCCAGGTGGCAGCTCTGTAGTACCTGAGGGGACACGTGTCTGGCAGGGAGCACCAGGCACCCACGCAGGGCAAAGCAAGGCGGGAGGTGGCTATTTTGTCCCTTAGGGCCAAGAATGCTTCTGGCGGGTCTCAGGCCTCCTTGCACACTGTGGAGACTGACGTGCTGCCCAGGCCCTGTGTGCTGCTGTGTTAGTGCTCAGCACCCGGGCAGAGCGCTGTGCTGGCTGGGGGGAACACGTCCCAGTGCTCCGGGGGAACACATGCCAGTGCTCCGAGGATCTCTACAGCTGCCCGAACTTCCTCCCATTGCAACTTCCCTCCGCTCAGTATGGAAGGCGCAGGGGTGCCCGTGCCAAGCCTCCAGGGCTTAGGAGAGGGATATTTGCAGCGGTTGCTTTCAAGTCCCAGACAGGGAGAAAAGGGGGCTGTTAATGGCCTGCAGTTACCCTGTTTCAGGCTTCTCCTTTGATGTGAAGCTTGTGAGGTCTCTCTAAAGGAAAGAGAGGTTCGTTGTCCCTCCTCAATGCCCCTCTGTGTACAGAGCCATGAGCTGCTCTGCCCTTGCGCTGTGGCCTGTCCGCAGCCCAGGGCGGTGCTGGCCTGGGGCCCGCTGCCCTGCGAGGCTGCTGCTGCCTGAGCGCTCCGAGTGCTCCTTGTCCTCCTGAGGATGCGGCTCTCCTTGCCGCGGATTGGGCTTGTCCTGCAGGGACGTGGAGCTGGGAGCTGCAGTTCAAGGCTTTGCCGGCTCTGACTGTGCAGCAGCACATGCTGCTCACATTGCTCCTGGCTCCCCTGAGGAGCTTGGTCTATGCCTAATGCTCGCCAGCCTGCTGGGGACCAGGTCCTCTTCACTACCATTTGAGGTTTTCAGAGGTTTATTTTCGCTTTAGCAATACAGTTACTGTGCTAGGAGCCATGAGACCTGGGTTTTATTTCAAGGTCTATAAGCAATTCATAGCTGGTGTGAACATCTTCCCTTCTGTTTAGACGCTATTCCCTTTATAATCTCACTGGGTTTGTACAGAACCTATTGCAAGCACGTCCAGGGGTTCTGATCTCATCTGAAAATCACCGCGTATTCTCCAATGCAGCCTCTGAATCACCCAGAGCAGGTCTCAGCTACCTCTATCTATGGCAGCTCCTGAACCACCTGAATTCAGCCCATTCATGCTGTAGGGTGGGAAGATCAAGGTGCAATAGCAGGTAGTCAACACTCAAGTCTCAGTGTATGCGTCACAAGTCCTAGCGTCACGGTGCTGCCTGCCCTGGGGTGAGACTGCTTCATCCCTGCGCTGAAGCCTCGGATAGCATCATGGGGAGAGGGGCGCTGCTGAAGGGAGCGCTTGGGCTGTGGCCGGAGCTGAAGGCATTGCGTCTGGCTCCTGAGCTGCACACTGGGGATCTGGGCTCTCTCATCCTCTTACTCTCTCAGCGATGCGGTTTGGGAAGCATCCAGTCACTCAGGTCTATTTGTAGTCTCTTCTTCTGCCTGCTCCCATGCCCTTCTCATGCCCTCCAAGGCTGGGCTGAGTGCCCAGCTCAGCGCCCTCAGAGATGGGCCATGCTCTCAGCAGAGCAATTATTTGAAATGCCAGCAGCCAGGGGCCCTTTGCAGGCCCCCAGCCTGTACATTTTGTGCTTTTGTTTTTCTGTCCTGACAAACAGCTGTTCTTTGCCCAAAGACCATCCCTGCCGCCCTGGGTAGTTTGCGGCAGCCTGGCGACATCCATGCCAGAGCTGTTGCACTGCCCGCGCGCTGGACCTCTTGTCCTACTCCCATCCAAACCCCAGCTAGAGTGTATCACTTGGAGAAGAGCTGAGGATATGGAGCTCTGGAGAAGCCCCCGGTTCCCAGGGCAGTGAGTTTGTGCCCTGCACTGATCCACATCCCCAGAGCTGGGCCGGGGCATCGCTGGGCTGGGCAGTGAGTGCCCGTCTGCTGCTGCCTGCACTCTGCTTGCTCCCTCTTCGAGTAGCTCAAGAGCTTCTCAGTGACTTGTGTTTGTCTAGCTGGACAGACCTGCAACCTGGCCTGTGGCCACTTCTCACTCCTCGTTCTCGTTATAAGGTGTTTCCTCCTCATCTCTGTGCCTTGCTGTGGCTGCACGCTCCAGCCCTGCCTGTATCGCTGGCCAGGCATAGGTGCGATAGCTGCCCATTACTCTCATTGCTGACTGCCCACATGGGAGGGCTTCATATCCCCATCCCATATCCCCATTCCATACTCCCCATCCCGGTTCGTTCCCACATCATTCAGCCCATGGGCCTTGCCGCAGCCATGCCAGCTGCCCCCATTGTGGCATCAAGCACCAGTGACAACTGTCCTGGTCTTGGCTCCAAACCCCTCCAGCTCCCAGTGGGTCTGATGGATCCTGCTAGGCCTGCAAAGCCTGGTCTGACCCACGTGCTCCCCCCTGCCTTGCAGCTTAGCCTTTTCCAGGGGACAGTTTATTGAAGCCAGATGCTCCCTCCCTGGAGAAACCTGGAGTGATGGGAAGAAGAGAGGGTGGGGTCCCTGAAATTCCTGGTTGGCTCCGCAGTTGCATGCCGTGGGGACTGTGACTTTATTCTCCCTATTACATAAAGATGCAGCTGCACTTGGCAGATGTCCATATCGTTTTTCTCCCTTTGTGAAGAGCAGCTGTCAAGAATCAGAGTGGGCCTGACTGCTCCTTTGGAAGGTGCATATGGAGCAGGGATAGGGCTCCCCAGGAAGCATGGCAGGGCCCTGGGGTGGCCTGCAGCCCTCTGGTCTCACCATACCCGAAGGGTCACCTCACAAGAACTGCTGGTGCTGCAGCTTGGATGCCATTCTGCAGGAGCAGCACTGAGACCCTTGGGTGCAC